GCTGAAGCAATGTAATTAGTTTGTATATTAGAATACAGCATACCCCTAAAGGGACTTTGAACATCTGTAGCAAAAGTTATGATAATCCATGTAATATTTTGTAAGATATTTCATTGAAGACCAAATCAGGGTGGCTGTGGCTCAGGAGGTAGAGCGGGTCGTTACCTAACCAGAGGATTAATGTAACCAGTCCCTATCGTTATACCATATAATTACACAAAGTTGTTTATTAGGTTTAATTACTGTTTATTAATACCTGACATCCAGAGCCCGAGTGTCTCCTATATGTTGTGTTTTGGGTTGCGACCTCCAGCTCCGCCTTGTTTCTTCTTCGTTTGTCATATAAATACGGTGCTGTGTCATACCCTCTTCCCTTTTGATATGTTCCACTGGGAAGAGGTCACTTTATAATCCATTGTAATCTTTTTATTGCTTGTGCCCACATCTTTATTTTTTTACTTCCTCTGTGTAAACAATGACTGTGGATACACTCACTTACACTAACAAGCACACATACTCACTGGTGACAAGCATTTGCATACTGATGCCACAGCCACCAGAGTTTGGTGTTTTGCCCAAGGACACTTTGACATGTCGTTCGAAGAAGCTGGGATTCAAACCAACAACCTGCTCTACCTCCTGAGCCACAGTTATGTCTACAAATTTTCTCAGAGTCATCCAGAAATAAAGACATTTCAGTCTGCAGCCACAGAACCAAGCTGCCAGACAGGCTAAAAAACTAAATGTTCAGGCAAGCTGAAGACTGACATCTTCTGCGACACCCACCCCTGTCACTCATCCTCTAACTGTGCTCATCTGTCCCAACTGAAGGTTACAATATGGCTGGTTCCTTAAGGGAGGCTTTTAAGGTCCCGACACTCCATACTGCCCGAGGAAACATAGCACAGCAGTTAATACAGATGCAGATTGTGTGCCTGCATCTGTGTTTGAATGACTGAGCACATATTAAGGGATCTTCCTGAGGTGGGTTCCATGATCGCAGGGATAAACACATACCGTTAGTAGAAACTGGTTTAAATATTTTGTTCTCATTTCTGCTGCGCTGAAGAGGCCATCTGGATAGGTCAGTTTGTCTCGTATTAAATATTCATCCTACTGTTGAAGGGGAGAGCAAAATAGAGCTGTTTTGTAATGTGAGAGAAAGAAAAGAGGGAGAGGTGGTGGTGATGAGGTGGGAAGATGTTGAACATAATTCAACAATAAATTTTTCCTAGCAGATGGAAGATTAGTTTCAGAGACAGCCCAGTGTCTTAGTGGAACTTGATATGTCATTGTATTCCCTCTTTATAATTACAAAGGGATTACATGTGGTTACATGAATAATGAAACTGACATGTTACTGATGTAATTTGTTGTGCCACAGTTGGTAAATGCTAAAGACAGTCTGTCTGTACTACACTATTCAGGTAAGATCAACAGATCGTTGGTCATCTAAGACTAAACTGATTCCCTGATGTGGCAGGACTCAATGATAAGCACAAAATTAGACACACAAACAGTTTGATTAGTGACAGGCCTGTGGTTCAGACTCTGTGTTCAGCTATTTCCTGCCTTCAGCATAAAAAAAAAAAAAAAAGCACCGTGATCAGAATGTGCACTTAGTCAGCAAACACTGAATTTTAATTATGTGCAAACCAGCTAACACAACAATTCCAGCAGCCTAACAGGAGGGACTTCTAGGAGCACTGGCCTGTTACACACATGTACTTTGTTGCTCTGGTGTTGTTTGTAACTGGAGTTCCTGTTGTACAACAGTAAGAAAGTAAAATAGGCAGTGGTGTAAAAGCACACATCTGTGTTGAGGTTGCTGTCACAAGAGTGCCACAAGCCCTGGTGATCACTAATGCAGTCTGGCAATGGTGTTGAACTGGTACTGAAATGACACCATTTTGAATGAGCATGGTAAACAACTAGGAAAGCACGTGAAACGTTTTAAGGTGCTAATGACTGTTTATATATAACCTATTTCTATTATTAGGTCACATATACAGTATATCACAGAAGTGAGTACACCCCCTCACATTTTGTAAATATTTAAGTATATCTTTTCATGTGACAACACTGAAGAAATGACACTTGGCTACAATGTAAAGTAGTGAGACTACAGCTTGTATAACAGTGTAAATGTGCTGTCCCCTCAAAATAACGCAACACACAGCCATTAATGTCTAAACTGCTGGCAACAAAAGTGAGTACACCCCTAAGTGATAATGGCCAAATGGGGCCCAAAGTGTCAATATTTTGTGTGGCCACCATTATTTTCCAGCACTGCCTTAACCCTCTTGGGCATAGAGTTCACCAGAGCTTCACAGGTTGCCACTGGAATCCTCTTCCACTCCTCCATGATGACGTCACGGAGCTGGTGGATGTTAGAGACCTTGCGCACCTCCACCTTCCGTTTCAGGATGCCCCACAGATGCTCAATAGGGTTTAGGTCTGGAGACATGCTTGGCCAGTCCATCACCTTTACCCTTAGCTTCTTTAACAAGGCAGTGGTCATTTTGGAGGTGTGTTTGGGGTCGTTATCGTGTTGGAATACTGCCCTGCGACCCAGTCTCCAAAGGGAAGGAATCATGCTCTGCTTCAGTATGTCACAGTACATGTTGGCATTCATGGTTCCCTCAATGAACTGTAGCTCCCCAGTGCCGGCAGCACTCATGCAGCCCCAGACCATGACATTCCCACCACCATACTTGACTGTAGGCAAGACACACTTGTCTTTGTACTCTTCACCTGGTTGCCGCCACACACACTTGACACCATCTGAACCAAATAAGTTTATCTTGGTCTCATCGGACCACAGGACATGGTTCCAGAAATCTATATCCTTAGTCAGCTTGTCTGCAGCAAACCGTTTGCGAGCTTTCTTGTGCATCATCTTTAGAAGAGGCTTCCTTCTGGGACGACAGCCTTGCAGACCAATTTGATGCAGTGTGCAGCGTATGGTCTGAGCACTGACAGGCTGACCCCCCACCCCTTCAACCTCTGCAGCAATGCTGGCAGCACTCATACACGTCTATTTCCCAAAGCCATCTTCTGGATATGACGCTGAGCACGGGCACACAACTTTCTTGATCGACCACAGCGAGGCCTGTTCTGAGTGGAACCTGTCCTGTTAAACCGCTGTATGGTCTTGGCCACCGTGCTGCAGCTCAGTTTCAGGGTCTTGGCAATCTACTTATAGCCTAGGCCATCTTTATGTAGAGCAACAATTCGTTTTTTCAGATCCTCAGAGTTCATTGCCATGAAGTGCCATGTTGAACTTCCAGTGACTAGTATGAGAGAGTGAGAGTGATAACACTAAATTTAACACACCTGCTCCTCCTTCACACCTGAATTTTAAAATAAAGTGCAAACAATTCCAGTGTACTACAAGTTCTGCCGAATGAGTAATGCCACTATCACTGCAACTCAGATGTTTGAGAAACATCAGGACAACTTAAAGGGTTGCATGAACGCTCTGAATAGTCAGATTATTCCTACAGATACGTCGACTGTAACGACTGTAACTGTACCACTAACGAGTCACATGACACCAGGGAGGGAAAACGGCTACTTGGGCCCCATTTGGCCATTATCACTTAGGGGTGTACTCACTTTTGTTGCCAGCAGTTTAGACATTAATGGCTGTGTGTTGCGTTATTTTGAGGGGACAGCACATTTACACTGTTATACAAGCTGTAGTCTCACTACTTTACATTGTAGCCAAGTGTCATTTCTTCAGTGTTGTCACATGAAAAGATATACTTAAATATTTACAAAATATATATCACTTCTGTGATATACTGTAAGTAGTTGCATGTTTTCAGGTTCCCACTGCTCAGTCATAAAACAATAATCAGTGGGACACCGTTGAACCTCCATTTTTGGATGCCAAATCAACACAGCTGGATATCCTAAAGTTTGTGTTTATGTCTGTGCGCTACCTTTCCGATGCGAGTCTAAAAACAGCTCGGCTGCATCCTGCTGTGATGCTGAAGGTGCTGTCATCTTTCCCCTCTGAAGGACACAACACTGTCTGAAGTTTGGGAGCAGGGGAGAGGGAGGGCGGAAGCAGTGACTACCGTGTGACAAGCACCCTGTTCCTTCCTCCCAGGCCTGAGAAACAGGAAGTGCTGCACATAAGGTTTTATTGTGACGGAGAGGAAATGCAAGGCCCTCTAAAATAAGAGCCCCAATCTGGTTGTCAACGACAGGAGCCTGTCCTCCACAGTCCCACAGAGATCAGACCCCCC